AATGTCTCATGACAGGTTAAAAAATGCATGGGACTCGAAATTGTTCTGAACCCATTGCCTGGAAGCATCTCACTAGTATTAAAGGCCTGTTAATGAGGCTGGGAGCGGCTCTTGAATTTTTTTCTCACTTCCTTAACATCAAAAGTTCCCCTTTGCGAAACGCTAACGAGAATTTCCATGTTAATTGCCCCGCGTTTCCGGAATATATAATTGCATATATTGTTTCTCTTGTTCCAACGACGGGAAGTGGGAAGAGATTTTGTGATTATTTGTGTTCTCTAATTAGAGTTGAGATAAGAAAACTCTTGCGGAACACAATTCGAAGAAGTTAATTGAGCGTTGCGTGGGACTCGGAAGCTGCAACGAGTTTGTTTGTCGTCCAAACTCATTATTGCTCTGACACCCAATCGAAGTAACAACTGATTTGGATTTGTAGTTAATTACTTAATCTATTAAGCAGCTAGGTGATCTAGTAGATTGAATTAGTATCAATTGTATATTCAGGTTAATTGATGTTGAATTATATGGTTAGGTATGTAATTAAAGTAACTCCAATCAAGATATCTTATTTGTCACCAACTAACGAGTTTTAAAAACATTTATAAATAAAAAAACATATCATTAGAATGATTGCAAGATTATCTGCATATAAACAAACAGACCGCAGAACAAAGAATCATTCTCATAATGCTTTCCATTATCTATAATCTCTTCAGAAAATGTTTTCAATTTACAAATGCATTTAAATTTTATTTTAATGAAAACAGGTTTCAACTCTATATGCCTTTATGAATTCTCTGTTACGAATGGAAGCATTTTAAAAAGAAAATAACGTTGTATGATATCAACAATTTTTAATACATATATGTGTACAGTTTAATACATACAAGCATGAAAATGGCTAGTAATATACATATTAAAGGAACGTATGTTATAACAAATCTATACGTATGGTGACAATAGAGAAGAATACTACATTTAATTTATCTCATCACTAATCTTCTCGAAGGACTAAATATGAGGAAGAACCATGCTTCGGCACGAATGGGCCGGCTCGACCGGAGTAATACCACGGCCTCACAGAAATACGACGTGAAACAACGCTTGCGTTATGTTTCGTCGAGTGAGTGAGGTTACCGGAGGCCCAATTACAACCCCTCCCTAGTCTCCCGAATCCCCGAATCTTCCACAATCCTCAAATTCTCAATTCCCAAAAGGCCGGTAACGCACTTGTAATTCCTTGGTGATCCGGCTGCTGCAAAAAAATATTTGACAGAAACTACGCGGTAGCAATATCATCTTTTCCATAAGGGTACTCGGGGCCCGTGCCCAGTTCCCCATCCTCAGGGGGCCCCGAAGTACCGACAATTTCTACGATGGACACACATTCGCCACATGTTGCGCGGCAACCGACTGCCCCGCAACGTGTAGAGGGTTCGATTGCACAGTGCAAATCATTGTGTGATCCACAAATTCATGTTTCTCGTCTAGGTGCCATGTGTGTGTGGACTTGTTTGTTTATAAATGCACCCACGATACAGGAGTAAACCCTAGTGTGGTTTAACGTTAAAAAAAGAACCATTCCAAACGGGCCCCGAATTGTTGTGCCCAAAGGCCCCAGCATAGGCTAAGACGGCCCTGAGGAGCAGTGATGTCTGATAAACGTCCTAATTGATCTCCAACCTGCTAACAAAGCGTGGAGATTCTCTACTATATATCTTACGCTCCAGCAGTAAGCTGTGGTTGGCTGTTGATCTTGAATACTAAGGACCTGTTTGTAAGAACAATCTGTCACATCATCATTGACAGCCTATAAATGCCCACTGCTGAGCAAAGCCTCTTCGCACAAGGAGACGGTTTGGACATTAATCACCACGCTTGCTCAGTGCGGGTTGGCGATTTCAAACTTATAATTAGAAATTATAAGTCCAGGTTTCCTCACGATGTTTTCCTTCACCGTTTGTCAGTGGTGATTAAATAATCTTAGAAAGTATATTTATCTCGGAAAAAGTCCCATTGGTACTAGCCGTTGGTAGGTTTCGACCCGGCATCCTTATTTATGAGGAGCGGGCATCTTAATCCTGGCCACCACAACATATCTGCACATATAGTTGTATAATCATATGAAGGTGCTTAACACTTTAAAATTACTACGCATAAAATCAGAAACCGTAATAGGTATTCCATAACTCTTTTCAACTCCTGAAAATACAATGCAAGATACAATTTTCTACAACAGTCACTCGTTTCGAATCCGATAGAGCGCAACGCAACGTTCCCCGTTCATTCCAATTTCATTTCCGTCAAACTGTGCTGTTACACATGTTACATGGGAAACCAAACCTGATGGAATGTATACGTTTTGCCAAGTTATTTCCTTTACTTCAAACTAAAAAATTGTAGAATAGAACAACTGGTGCAATAGAAGTAAGTAATGGTTTGCACTTAAAAGCATTTCTTTTTCACGACGTAATTACACGTTGTATTTTAGTATGGGAGAGCCATGCTTCAGCACGAATGGGCCGGCTCGACCGAAGTGATACCACGGCGTCACAGAAAACCGACGTGAAACAACGCTTGTGTTGCGCTTCGTCGTGTGAGTGAGGTTACCGGAAGCCCAATTACCCTCCTCCCCTTCCCCAATCTTCCCAATCCCTGAATCCCCAACGATTCTCAAATTCCTTATGCCAAAAGGCTGGTAACGCACTTGTAACGCCTCCGGTGTTCCAGATGTCCATGGGCGACGCCGATTGCTTACCATCAGGTGATCTGTCTGCTCGTTTACCGGCTTATACCATAGAAAAAAGCATAATTATACACAGTTTTCATCATGACTTTTCATGTAGAATCTACTACAACGTATTAAGTCTCATATAGAACCAAATCATTGACCGGACACCATTCCAGATTTTGTTTAATTTAAATACCCCTAAGATTTATCTCATCAATCAACAAAACAGTTATAACATGCACTTGTAAAACGCGTTTGATAACGCGCCATTAAACTGTCATCTAACATTTACAAATGACATGTCAGTCTATTTTAAGACCACTAAGTACTTTCTCATTTCCATATAATATTTTGTTAAAAAAGCCATTCCGAATATTACTCTCAAATCGTTCCAAATTATTCAATCTTCCAAGAAATTAGTCTTTAAATAGACCCTCATATTTTAATTTAGAATATAGAGAAAACGTACTGCTGAATCTTAATTTAAAAATAAAAATATACGAAACGAGATAACATCTTTAACTTTGCTATTTAAATGTAATGGTTGAACTCTCTGGAAAGTGATCCTTCAAGAAGTATCTTTAGTAATGTCAGAAATAACATTTTTACTAACGGAATATGAAGTTTAAAAAAAACAGATATGCTCCTAAGTGGTTGGGAGCATATGAGTAGTATTTAGACGGTAATGACGTTACTTCTGTTCTTTCATACAAAATATCTTCTGCTAAGGACCAGTACCTTTTTGTTAAAATTTCTACGGCAGCTAGACACCACTCAGAAACAAACTATACAGGGTGTAAATCTGTTTATCTGTAATCTGTTTGATGCTCTCAAAAAACGCTAACAAAAATAAATATTATTTATTTGTTATTTTTAGCCATGCTCGTCCAACTGCAGGGGCCTCCGTCCTCTCCTTCCACTCATATTTTCTTTAAGCTTTCATTCTTTCTTACAAAAAAAGTTTTTACCATTTTATTGATTTTGATTTACGTGTTATTCATGTAATGTAACCTCGAGTGGTGGATACCTACTGGATTACTACTGGACTATTATTCCATACAAGAAATATTTAAATGCTTACTTTTAAAACTTGTTTCTGACCGTCACCTGTCGGAGATTTGCGAGCGTTCCATTTACACCCTGTTCATATATAACCAGTTTACCAATGATATCTCCTCTAAACGAATTTATTGCCTCCAAAATAGGTCATTCAAATACATACAACGCCATCCTTGTAAAATATTCACCGGTTAATAGTAGTTAAAAGACCACTTTGCGGATTATGACACATATTTTACTAAATACATTTTAAAACTACACCGCACCTCAAATTCGTGAATCCCGCAAAGTTCGGGCTCACAAAGGGCGCAAGGTAATTATAAAAATACTTGCGTAAAAGCCAGACTCCCTGGATAAAGCCATACCGATAAGACGAAAACTTTAAATCGTTTGTCAAGAAGACATTTTAAATTGTGGCGAAAGTCCGTTTAATTCTCCTTTTGAGTAGTTCTAGAAATATAAGGTTATTGAACTTAGTTACATTAAAATGAAAAAAAATATTACGATGGTACCTGTACTTTTTTTCGTTTACGAAATTCATTTAAATTGCTTAATTGGTTCTTAAATGTTCAACTTTTCTTTGGGAGGAGCTATTTATATGTTTGAAGCGCGCCTAATATTTAAGAGATCTCACGAAATTGAATGTTGATTTTGTACAAGAAGTTCAGAAACATTTTTTTATATAAAATTCTAGAATGGCAGTTTTTCAACGATAAATGTGGTTGTAATTACAAATCACTTGTAGGTAACTGTACAAACTATGCAATCTATTCACATCTGAAAATAAACCTAAAAACTAACACAATTACACTGACAAATCTATACACATACACCTACATACATTTATTATTATATATAATATTTACATTTTGTACGGAATACATAATACTTCCTTACCAGTTGGTCGATAAAAATTCCATCGATAGTCGATAATTGTAATCCTATCGACAGAGCCCTCATCACTAATTACCAATATAGTTATAACTATCGATAGCTACCGATGATCGCTTACCGATGTGTGTGCGCATATCTATCAAACCAGTCTTGCCGAGATTTTGCTACGACGCGCATAGATAATTCTTTCACTTCCTTAAAGCTATAAAAATTACGTTAATTCTATCGCAAATATCTTCTATCTTTTCCTTACTACTTCTAATACTGACTGTCTTCTCGCTATCTCTGTGCTGTGCTTATAAGTGCTTGTGACTTTCCTACTGTGCCTTCTGTACTACACGTGTGTCGGATCCATGGAATAAACTTGGTGATACGTGAGTCGAACTTTTATTTACACCACGAAATCGGGTATTTCATTTTATTTACACCATCAGACTACTCATCTAACACCAAACACTAATTTAGTCAATTTTTGTTTGTGTTTGTCAATACAATTTAAACATTTATTTTTCCGAACTTCCTTATTTACGAATGATCTTTTTCGGTTGCATTTTGTTATGGCAAACCTTCAAAGAGTTTTTACTCAAGACGATACGTATCTCCGAACAAAATATTTTTTTACTCGCAAATAAACATGAAACCTTTTTGGAAGACGAGAAAGTTGTCATATATTTTCTTCGAGTAAAATACTTCTGGCTACCAAGAAATATAAAACTATTCGATCAAACAGCGACAAGGCCTGAATTCACAAAGACTAGAAACACCTAAAAAACTCGAAACTTATATAAACTTTTGCGAGGATGGAACCTAATGATGAATGAATAATGATCTTTCAGAGAAAAACGATAAACTTTTGAATAAAACGGAATAGTAGAGTAACCCTTTTTACTTGTTATATCTGGAACTCTTAATGCAGGTTCGTAAAATGCTCTTTGTAGTTACCTGTCGTAGGGGAACTCGATTTGCCATTAAGTTTATTAAGACCTATTTACATTTCTATTACACTTCATTTCATACTCTTTCTATAGTCCTCGTAACTGCGTCTTTTGCATCAGACTAATGGAAAATGAAATAATTAATATTTACATACATTTACTCGAGTATAAATTTCTGTTAAAATGAAAATAAAAAGTTTGTAAAAGACTCATACATGTGCTTCATGATCACTACATAGCATAACAAAACAAAGTCGCTATCCACCGTCTGTCTGTCCCTATGTATCGTTTTTTTTAAGGGGGATCATCGAATGACTACGTATGCTTAGATCTTTAAAACTACGCAACGAATTTTGATGCGGTTTTTTTAAAAGATAGAGTGAATCTTAAGAAAGGTTTCTAAAGTGATGTCGTAAATGAGCACATTTTTGTGCGCTTATATTGCAAACGCTGGCTGTACCTTACGAGATAAACGAAAATAATGTACTATAGTATATTGTCCACCTTAAAAAGTTCAACAAAAAGTCTGCAATGGTATAGGTATGTCTATCTCTTAGGGATATCCCACCATTACCATTTTTGATCCTTTACTATCAATGGTTATTTACGATGTGATTTTAAACAATACTACATTAATCCTTATTCAACTAAGTACTTTAAATAAATTGTGTATTTATCTTAGATAAATATGCTTTTTACAACATGTAATTTAAGTGAATATTTCCGAAGATATTACAAATTTAAAATGCAGGGAAGTATTTGTTGCGGCGTTGATGCCGGCGTAATTTGCTGATGATTTGCAACGATCGCATACGTTTATCGGAGCTCTCTAGCGAGGAAAATATCAATATAAAACATGTATGTGTTCTCCAATGACAAAATGGCTGTGAGCGTGGTGTATAAGGACATTTTGTAGTAGGTATTTTAACATAAGTATTGCACCCGTGCGAAGCCGGGGGGGTCGCTAGTTTTAATAATAAAAAGAAAATAAAATCTTACACTTCTCTGTCTTACAATTTTAGGCATTAAGTAACTCATAAATACCACTAAAGATCATGAGAACCAATAAATGTTTTATTGATTCTAGACTTCGATTGTTAACTTGAGGCAGTTTGAATTCCTAAACAGAATAGTGAGTGGGGGTTGTTGAAGTTTACATAAAGTTAGTGAACAGATTTCGGTATAAGTTATCAATATCTGTATTGAGTAACAAGTTGAGTGTAGTCTGCGGACTGCGAGCAATATTCAAGTAATAATTTACGTAATCACATACAGAACCTTCTTGGCTTAGTTATGTGTTGTGCTGTGACTACATCAAGCTACGGTTATAGAGGTTCATACATGAATGGGTCATTATACTCAACATTTGAGTCGCTAGGAGATAACTCAGATGTCTGACTAGCAAAATCTAGCAAAGGAGGATAATAGAGGTATAATGTGACACACTGTGATACTTCTAACCATCACTAATTTAGATAAACTTAATAATGATTATTGCACAAAGTTGATAGATTTCATGTGTGCAGATAGTAAACAAACAAATACCACAGAACATAACATGTGATGATGTAACTTATTAGATAATATTCCTGGAACCATAAAGTACATAGTGAACTGTTGATAATACGCCCAGCTACTTCAATTTCACACCTGTCTGGTATTAATCAAAATGTATCACATACCCGTCCATAACATTAGATAGATTACCTATTAACATATATATGTATATCGAATCAACATAGAGTAGATTACACACACGTCCTATAGTAATCGGCCCACAAACATTGTTACGGACTGTGAAGGAACGCTGAATTCAATTTAAACTCTTTACACGCTTAACAACATAATTGTAACCTGTTGATAAAGTTATTTAAAGTTAGCAGAATTGAGTGATCCAGCAATCTGCTGTAGACTGCAGGAAGACAAATTGATAAGAAACCTCTCGATGTAAAATCTCACTAAAAGTTTGTTAATTAATTACTTTCCCCTCGCCCACCTTAACTAATAAACGTTGTTTTGGAATCGAGATGTGATGAATGACTTAAGTATAAATTAAACCAATTAGAGAATTTCCGAAACCTCTTGAAGTTGTCAAAGTCTCGGAATTAATTAATAAATCTTGAAATATGACTAAAGAACGTTTGCCAGCGGTGCTTAACGCAAGACATTGATAAACAAACCTTTTATTATTTCGTTACGTTCACCCTTAGCTCTGCTTATCTTGTCGACGTATTTTCGTGTTGTAATTAACAATAAATAATCATTTGAACAACATTTAAGTTTTAACTGCGCACATACATTTATTAAAAAAGTAATCACATTTTCCATTACTTTTTAAACAAAAAACTGAGCAGAACTAACGAGATTTAGCGGAGTCCATTTTGTTGGAAAAATGTTTTTTAGTTGCAATGTTTATTATCCAGAGCTTAAAGTGAGTGCTCCAATACTGCTTGATGCTGTGTGTTCTCACTGAAGGCAAAGTTGCCAAAATCTGTCGTAATGTTGGCAAAGAGGATTTTGTGCTTACATCTCTAGTTTAGCTGATATTTCTCAGAATGCGGGAGAAATATCAATAAGAGTGAGTCAGTAGACATCCTAGAGGTATATTATATTATATGTATCTTTAGAAAGAAGTAACTTAGGTAAACTAGCCATAGCTACCTGCATTACTAAGTCGCCCGAACCATGCCACTTAATATACTTATAAGGTATGAAGTACCTTAGTACTCCTTCACAAGTGGCATAAATTTATGTATCAGTCACTAAATACGAATGAGCGTCAAAGCGAAACAGTTCACACAGCCTATAATTTGAGACGTCAACAACATGAATGTAAGCATACAAGTAAATCCGTCGCCGGGGCACACCTCATCACGCGAACAAAACGCAAATGTAAGTAACGAGCCACGATGTAATCGTCATAGCGTGTATTTAAATAAGCATGCGTTACGCGCCTTGAGTAAACACATTTTTCCTAATAAACGTTATTCCGACTGCGGCTTAGGGCAATGTTTTGTAAAGCCAGCGCTGGCTAAATTGCCCATTGCGGCCCAAATGCGGATTTCTGCTGTATTAGCCTAATAGCATTCTACTTCTTCAATTCTCATTTATTGTCTGTTTTAAGCAATTAATTCGGTTTTCATTATGCTGTCAGCCTATATTGAAATAACGTTAAAATTAAACTAGGACAGGTTCTTCAAAATATCGTAATTATACATTATTAAATTAAGATTATTCACCAAAAAGTTCATTAAACTCATTTTAACCGTAACCTAGCTCTCGAATTTCTAAAATAATAATGCACATTAAAATTTCCCCGAAATATTTTTTGTAAAACATCCAAAACTTTAACAATTACTTAGAAAAGTAATACTCTTAGACGAAACGTTGAGAGCAATAAATGAGCAAACGTATAATTACCACACAAAAAAATATGCTCAAATTTTTTGTCATATCTTTGGTTAGACATGTTTGTTTTCGTTGACTTTGGGGGAGTACAAGTAATTTCAAGCTTGACCGCATATTAGCATCAGTGGGCCAGACAATCTGAGTTGAGACAACAGTTGCGCCATCTATGTAATAAGTAGTGTCCATAAGAAGCCTATGCAAATTTACATTGTATACAGAATTCAATTGTAGAAGCCATGAAAGGGCGGCAGTCCCGTTACCGAGGTAAACAGTGTACGCTCTTACGTAAAGTGTATCTTCCTTGAGTATGGTTGCTGTTTTGTTCAACACAATAATGCTTCAACGTGTTTAAATATATTTTGTGAGCAAACGTTGGGAAAGTAATGGAAAAAGGAAACGTGGGAATAAATGATTTATCGTAATGACGATACAATTACGTATGTACATGTGGGTACGTGTTGTTACTGAACAAAATGTTCAACGAGTGTTGTTTTTTAATACGTTTTCGAACTCCGAGGAAATGTATTTGCTCTTATTACAATGTAATTGTAGGTGAAGTTTGTCGCCCTGTTGCGGGATTTCAAAGCTGGAATGGGGAATGTTGAATGTATTATTTTAAATATTCTATTGCTATAGCTATAGTGATGAAGTAAGTTATTTTGTTTTTCATACGAAGATTATTATTCCATAAATACGACATAACACGTTTATTACATTTTCATCAATTAACGTGAATATTTTTGAATACCAACAATATTACATACTCACTAATTGAACAGATATCACCTGTTTAAATCTGTTATTATCACAAGCAGTTTTATACTAAAAATAACACTATTCTTTCAATACTTTACCAGCAAATGTACTAAACACAATCTAATCGTGACTAGAAATAATTAAAGAAAAATATCTCCTGCATATCCACCATACTCCGAGTATACATATTATGAAGTCATGAGTACTTCACTTCAGCTAAATAGCCTAAATAAATCTTCAACACGTCCCAAAGGCATTTGCTGCATTTTCCTTTC